GATGTGGTGTCGGGGCTGCGGTGACGACGGGAGGAGGCTGGCGTCGGGCGAGGAGAGCAGCGATGTTGATGAGGGAGAGGAATGGTTGTGTTCAGGAACGAAGAGGGAGAAGGCGAAGCGGCGTTTTGCCGTTTTGGTGAGGGGCCGTGCTTTTTCACGAATATTTTGGGGGCCCTATTTTTTGGGGGCCCTAGGCGATGGCCTCGCCTGCCTACCCCTTGGGCCAGGCCTGGACTCCCTATATTTAGTTTCAATATAGGGAGCATCGTTGGAGCAATTTCCCCCCCTCCTACCCTATATTTAGTCTAGGACATAAGATAGGGAGCCATTTGGGGAGCATTATTGGAGCACTTACTCCTTATTTGGCTCCTTATTCCTAGGATGAGAGATTTGCTCCTCAAATATAGAAAAAACCTAAGATAACTCTTGGAGATGCTCTAAATAACTGATGTAGGACGCTTAACGGACAATTTCATGGAGGAGTGGGACAATCACGAGCTAAACGCCGACTCATACGTATTATTGACTTTCACAAAGAAACAATCATATCTTTCAATTCGGAAGGCGGATTCTGACATATTATATATGTAAATTACCTATCTCGACGAGACGGAGCCAACCAGATTGTCATATTTTTAAAATCTCATCAGTAGTACACATTTTTGGCTAAAATCCGAAAATAATCAGTTTTTAATTTATTTTTAGTAAAAAAATTAGAGTCAATTTAGATTAGGAAATAAATTCAATGCTAGAGTCAAATTAGATTAGGAAACAGATTCAATTCTGATTCATGATTTGTTTCCTCTATTATAGGGAGTCTTTTTAGGGTAGGATTTGATACTTTCTTTTCCCTTGTAATTCTAGTCTTACTAGGAGTCTTGTTTGTTTTTCTATTTAAGAAGAGTCATGTAACCCAAAGAGGAATATTTTGGAATTAAACTAAACTTCTCTTGAAGAAACTTTTGGTGTGTTTTCTTGAGTTTGTGGAAGAAGTACTCATGATAAGGCTTCTTTGTTTTCGCCGCTGCGTCAATAACACAATTATGGGAATTTATCCTTCTCTGTCTTGTTCTCTAATTTTGTTTTACATCATCTAAGGCTGTCAGCATGTATTTATGACCCAATTAATGATCTTTTAGAAGATTTTGGCAAAAGTACTGTAGGTGTCTTCTAACTTTAGTTTGCCTCCCAAGTTCCCTTAGTGCATCCCTATACTTCATCTGAAGCTAGTTGATAATATAACGTCACAGATCAAATACACTGCGTAATATTATAGCTATGTTTATAATGACAGGTTCTGCATTTTCTGCCAATTCATTTGTTATGATGATCATTTTGGAAATTCAAAGGACTGTAGTAATTTTTTTTCTTGCCAGAAGATTCAAGGTTATTTAAAATCTATAACATAATTGTTAGGTGTGTATTTAATAGGACAAATTTTCAAAACCATCCCTTTTTAAAATTTATTTATAAAAAACGACTCATTTCAATCTTAATTTCAAAAACCGACCCAGTTGGTTAAAATTGGGTCGGTTTTTGAAAAAAAAAATTCAAACTTCACGGGAGTTGAACTCCCGTGAAGTTTTGTTATGAGAAAAAACTTCACGGGAGTTCAACTCCCGTGAAGTTTGAAATTTTTTTTTTTTAAAACAGACCCAGTTTCATCCAACTGTGTCTGTTTTTGTAATTAAAGTTGAAAAGGGTCTTTTTTTGAGAATAAATTTCAAAACCGGATGGTTTTGAAAATTTGTCCGTATTTAATAAGAAAACTAAATGCATAGATAGAAGAAGTTGAAAAGGAATACCATAATAGGAGTAGGGATGAAGAAAGGAGTACAGTGACAAAAAGGATGGGGCAGAATTCACTGCCAATTGGATGTGGATGTCATGTGGGAGAATAAATGTATTGAGGGAAGGTAACTTCCTACTTTAGAAAACTATGGTCAGGGCTTTAAGAAAAAAAAGAGGAAAGTTACCTTGGTTAATTAGCTTGTAAATTTGATGTAGTAAATTCAAGGGTAAATGTCACAAAACCCACCCTGAACTTTTGGGTACTTCACACAAATGCACCCCTAAACTTCCAATCTTAAGTACAGAAACTCCACCAACTACTGGAAACTGCCGTAGATGATGCTCATGTGAAGAGTAGAAGGTATATATAATCGACCTTTGTTACTATCAGTGAACTTGAATTTGTGAAAAAGTAGGAACGATACGAGGTAAAAGTGTCCAAAACGCGCGCATGGGAAACACGTGACAGCTTAAACTAATTGCCGTCTGTCATGGTATTTTACTGACACGACTTCACGAGGGTTTTCTCTACAAACACCCCAAAGTTCAGGAGGCTTTTGTGAAACTTGCCCTAATTTCAAAACTTGCGTTCTGTAAGTGCCTGATACAATGCATTTTGAGATGTAGGTGCGTGAACATGGGTATGTATGTATGTACACCCATATATTTCATGCAGCAATGGAGTCTCTTGATCTGATGGGGAACAAGAAACAATGGGAAGGAAGAAATAAAAGAAACAGGGTTCTTGCATGCATCTAATAAGAGAAATATCTGGTAAATTTGTGAATAAAATAGTAGGTATCATATGACATACAAGAAAATTATCTCTCCTACAGTTACGTGGTCGAATCTCAGGCAAGTGTTGTGGACAGACTTAAATAATCTATTAAAAAAAATTTGGGCCTGCACTTTCTCTGCCACGTACCTTAGTTAGCTGGCATTGGTGGTTACAAATTCCTCTGTTGCTCTGCATCTTTTACTTAATTCTTTCATCACTATATATCCTGAATATACCCCCTGCGAAATGTTAACCCCACTGCTGCGTTTTCTGCTTCCACGGAATCAAAATGATGGTTCTTGTCTAGCGTGAGGTGGCAATAAATTGATCAACTAATTTACAAACAAGTGAACATGGACTTGTATTACGTAAAAATTATAGAAACAATTTTGAGGACAGAGATTTAAGAGGTTTCATATGCTGCTAAGTACGTGTTAGATATTTTTGTTTTAAAATAAAGAAGAGAAGGTCTTATATATATATAGATCGAGGAGATCGTCGTCTTCACCGAGAAGTCCTATAAATCAATGGGAACTTGACAGTACTAGGTTGGTGCACACCAGAGTACTGTATTGTTGTTCCTGTAAGCAATTTGGTCTTGGGATCCTTGCACCGGAGTAGGTCAAATATTGCTTTAAGGACAACGTTTTACAAACGCACAACAGCTGAGTTGGAAAATTTTAAAATTACCGTACTTCAGCTTTTTTTAGTTATTTGTTGTTTTATATCTATATTATTCTAGATTTAACCACATGCCCTAGAAAGTATGTTATTATAGAAAACAATATGACACGTATTCAAGTCATTACCGTCTATATCATTATTATGTTTATATTATAATCAAAAATGCTATTTGGCTCGCTCCCTTGCCAACTCGCGCCCAACTAGCGTAGTGAGGAACAGGGGGGTGGGCCCCGCTCCCTTGTTCCTCACTGCACTAGCTGGGAGCGAGCCAAATAGCAGCGTTGTATTATAATTGACCAGCTTAGATATATGTCATGTCAAAAACGCACAGGTTAAGATTTTAGATAAGCGCGTCGGCCCTATTTACTTTTATACGTCATGTCAACAACTCAGGATGTTATTGATTGCATAAAGTTGTGCAACCTTTGAGAGCCCAAGGCACGAAGCACTGGCGTTGCTCAGAAAATGCAGGTGACTCTGACCGATACAAATGTCTTCATGATCTTGGTTTCGCCCAATAGGAAAGACTTATAATTTGTCTTGATGAAAAAGCTGAAAGTGGTTCGCA